CCCTGGGGGCCCCTGTGGGGGCCCCTCGAACTCCTCAAGAGTGGGTACATTGAAGTCCCCCTTAAGCAATTTGATTTTATTTCTTTTATTTTTCTTTTCTTCTTTGCTTTTCTTCACGAGTTGGCGGCCTCCCTTCTGCCTGCCAGCCAGGGGGGCCCCCCGGGAAGAGGGGCCCCCCGAGGGGGCCCCCAGGGGGCCCCCGGGGGGCCCCCCGGGGGGCCCCCGGGCCTGCTTTTGGGCCTTAGCCATGGAAGGTTGGAAACAAGTTAAGATATATGAAGAGCAGCAAAAGGCGGGGGGGGTTTATGAGCCACTCTCGGCCTCAGAGGCTGTTAAGCATTTAAAAAGAAGTTTATTTATTTATTATTTATTATTTATTTATTATTTCTTGTTTTTTTTCATTATTTATTCTCTATTTACCAACAAATTGAGCGCAAGCTTCCGGGGGGGCCCCCAAGGGCTGGGGGCCCCCGGGGGCCCCCGAGCCCCACAGCTCAAGCAGCAGCAGCAAATTAAGAAAAGTGAACATTTGGGGTTTAAATGGTTTTATTCATATTTTTAAATGCAAATAAATAAATTAATTCAATTATTTTGAGTTTATAAGCTTTTATTTCGGGTTTTTAGGTAAAAATAACAGGGAAGAACGATAATTCAGGATCCAGCTACACAAGCCCGAGACCCTAAGCCCTAAACCCTAAACCCTAGACCCTAGACCCTAAACCCTAAATCCTAAACCCTAAAAGTTAAACCCTAATTCCTAAGCCGTAGACCCTTCGCCGTAGACCCTAAACCCTAAGTCGTAGACCCTATACCTTACTTAAACACTAAACCCTAGCCTAAACGCCTAAACCCCAAAACCTCATGGCTAAACCCTAAACCCCAAACCCTAAACCCTAACAGAGCTGTACAGCGAGGCTGCTGCATGCACGGGATGATGTGGAAAGGGAGAAGCAAATATATGCATTAAAAGATAAATCGAAAGATAAAATTACTTAAATATAAATATTAAAATTATTTAAACATAAATAAATCCTTCCTTTAAACACATCTGCATGCTTCATTTGCATTTGCTGCTGCTCAGCTGTATGTACACCCCACTGCAGCAGCAGCTGCATGCAAAACGCTCTTAATATGCGCCGCTGTGCAAATGCCAAACCCTAAACCCTAGACAAACCCTAGCTAGCAGGCCCCCCAAACCCAAAACCCTACATAAACCCTAGCTAGCAGGCCCCCAAACCCTAAACCCTAGCTTTGAGTGCAGCAAAAGCCACAAATGGAGCGGCAGCAGCAAAACGAATGCTGCAGCAGCTCATGGCCATGTGGCTGACAGATTGGGCTGCGTCGCCGAGCAGCTAGCTACAGCTAGCTACAGCTAGCCACAACTAACCACAGCTAGCCACAGCTAGCCACAGCTAGCCACAGCTAGCCACAGCTAACTACAGCTAGCCGCCGCTACCAGCTGCCAGCCACAGCTAGCCACAGCTAGCCGCAGCTAGCCACAGCTAGCCGCAGCGAACGACAGCTAGCTACGGCAAGCTAGAGCTAGCAACAGGCAGCTCAACAAGCCACAGCTAGCTGCAGCTAGCTGCAGCTAGCTACAGCTAGCCACAACTAGCTACGGCTAGCTGCCCTGGCCACAGGGAGCCACAGTTAGGCACAGCTAGCTGCAGCTGACTCAGCCTAGCAGCAGCTAGCTACAGCTAGCCACAACTAGCCACAGGGAGTCCCAGCTAGCTACAGTTAAAGGTGGGGAGACTCTTAATGCAGCCCCACTAGTTGCAGGTCTACGGCGCAGCAGCAGCAGCAGCAAACCACAGCAGCACGCGGCAGCAGGAGGCAGCAGCAGCAGCAGCAGCTGCTGTAGCAAGTTAGCGCAGCAGCCAACACGAACACGAACGCTTCCAAACGCATCTTCCTTAGGGCCAACGAGTCTGCTGCGCTGCTGCAGCAGCCGCAGCAGCAGCGGGGCCCCACAGGGCCAAAAGAGCAAAAGGAGACAAGATACATTGGGCTGTGGCTGCTGCAGCACAGCAGCGGCAGCAGCAGCAGCAGCACAGCGGCAGTAGCAGCAACGGAATGCTGGAAAACTCGAGGCCCGGCGGCCTGAGAAACGCGCTTGCTGAAGCTGCTGGCACATCCACTGCTGCTGCTACTGCTGCTGCTGCTGCTGAGGACAGTGTTGCAGCAGCAGCAGCAGCAGCAGCAAAGCTAGCTGCATACTTAAACCACAAATGTCTCCTCCAGCAGCCGCTGCACCAGCACTGAACAGCCTTTTGCTGCTGAGAGGATCGGCTCCCTGTACACCCGAAGGCGGTAGAGACAGTCTCGCATTGCTGCAGCAGCAACAGCAACAGCAGTAGCAGCAGCAGCAGCAGCAGCACAAGCCATGGAGGGAGCATGCTAAGCAGCAGCATCAGCAGCTGTGGAGGGAGCATGCAACGCAGCAGCAGCAGCAGTAGCCCAAACAACAGCCCACGCGGCAGCAGCAACCTCTGCCTCAGCAGCAGCAGCACCTAAATAATCAGCTGCAGCTGAGCAGTAGCAGCAGCAGCAACAACAGAAGCAGCAGCAGCTTCAGGAGAGAGACATAAAATGAATTCTCACTAAAGTTCGCGTCCTGCAGCAGCGGCGAAAGGAGAGAGCAGCAAACGTCTCCCTGTGCTGCTTCTTGCTGCAGGCACGACAGAGCCTGCAGCAGAAACCCAGCAGCAGCAGCAGCAGCAGTAAGAGCAGCAACAGCAGCAGGAGCAGTAAGAGCAGCAGCAGCAGCAGCAGCAGTAAGAGCAGCAGCAGCAGCAAAGGGCGCAGAATTGATGGCTCAATGCAGCTGTGGTTGCACTGGTGTCTCGCTGCTACAGCAGCAGCCGCTGAGCCAGCAGCATCCGCAGCAGCAGCAGCAGCAATTACTCACAAGTTCCCTGCTGAGCTGCACAGCAACCTGTGCTCCTACAACCCCAAATCCTGCAGCAGCAGAAGCAGCAGCAGCCACAGCAGCACCAATCAACTTCAGTCGTTGCAGCGGAACGAAGCAGCTGGTATGGACTTCCTGAACAGCTATAGCAACAGCACTCAGCAGCAGCAGCAACAGCAGCAGCAGCTGCAGCTGCGGCCTTTGCTGCAGCAGCAGCCCTTTACTACTGCTTCTTACCCTTGCCGAGAGCACTTAAGACGCAGAGCCAGCCAGTGAGAGCTTCTGCTGCAGTGGCTGCAGCAGCAACAGCAGCTGCTGCTGCTCTGTCTGGGTCTCCCATCTCCAGCAACAGCTGCTGCATTGCTGCCGACTCTGCTGCTGCTGCTGCATGCCACTGGCTGCCAAACAGACCAGCGGACACCCCCGAGCTGCTGCGCTGCTTGCTGAAGCTGTCCATACACTGCAGCCACGCCCACACCCAGTCACAAAGAACGCATGCTGCAGCAGCAGCAGCAGCAAAAGCAGCAGCAGCAGCAGCAGCAACGGCAGCAGCAGCAGCGGCAGCTCACCATGATTTGGGCCTGGCGAGCAGCAGGAGAGGACACAACTGGCAGCAGCCGCAGCAGAGCGTTCTGCAGCCGCAGCTGCTGCAGCACGAGCGAAGCTAGAGCATCAAATATCTGCATCGCAGCAGCAGCAGCAGCAACGGCAGCAGCATGCAGCAAGAAGCCGCAGAGAACTGGGACTCCAAGAGCGGTGCAAAAAAGACAGCTGCGGCAGCAACAGCAGGAGAAACAGCAGCAGCGGTAACAGCAGCAGCAACAGCAAGAGCAGCAGCAGCAACAGCAGCAGCTGGTTCAGCCTACCGGCAGCTCGTCTTGCTGCTGCTGCAGCAGCAAATGCGAAAGGTCTAGGCCCCTCAAGTCCGCGAGGGTCTCTGGGAAGACTAGGGCCCCCGACTGCAGCAGAAGCAAACAGCAGCCACCGCAGCTGGCTCGCTAGCTAGCTAGCTGGCTAGCTGGGCAGCTAGCTAGCTAGCCAACTAGGCAGCTAGCTATCTATCTGGCTAGCTAGGCCGCTATCTAGATAGCCAGATGGCTAGCCAGCCAGAGGGCTCTCGTATGAGCTGGCTAGCTAGCTAGCTAGCTAGCTGCTTAGCTAGCTACCTAGCTGCTTAGCTAGCTAGCTACCTAGCTGCTTAGCTAGCTAGCTAGCTAGCTAGCAAGTTTGCAGGCTGGCTAGCTAGTTAGCTAGCTAGCTACTCCTGAAGTGGCTAGCTAGCGAAATCGCTGGGCTCCGGGAGATGCGTCTCTGGCTGTGGGAGCTGCGTCTGCTGCCTTGCTCACCAAGCGGCCCCCTTTGCTGCTGCTGCTGCTGCTGCTGCTGCTGCTGCTACTGCTCTTGGGGGGCAGCGACAGCTGCTGCTGCTGCACGTAGCGGCTGCTGGTGCGGTCAACTGCCAGCCGCAGCGAAGAGACAGACTGGCGGAGGCCCAGCAGCGCGAGACTCTGCAGCAGCAGCAGACACACGAGATGGGCTTGCTGCTGCTGCTGCTGCTGCTGCTGCTGGAGATGTAAGCGGCAGCAGCAGCGGGAGAGGGGAGGAAGCACCGGCAGCAGAAGACACAAAGATCAGCAGCAAAACTCACTACCACGTCGGAGGGTACTTGCTGCCAGGCCTTCGGGTCGAGCTGCAGCAGCACTGCTGCTGCTGCTGCTGCCTGCAGCAGCAGCAACACAAACAGCAACGCAGCAAACCAAATAGCAGAGGCAGCTCCACCTGCAGCAGCGACTGCGTGCACAGCAGCGGAAGCAGCAGCAACTACAGCAACACCAGCAGTAGCACAAATAGCCGCAGCAACAGCAGCAACCATAGCAGCAGCAGCAGCAGCAGACGCACGTCTCTACAGGGCCTGCTGTGGGCTTCTGCTGCTTGCCGCTGCTGCAGCACAGACGTGAGCCACAGCAGCGCGAGGAAGGAGACCCAGAAGGCACTGCAGCAGCAGCAGCAGCAGCAACAGACACGCAAAAGGCCCGAACCCTAAGCCCTAAATCCTAAACCCTAAACCCTAAACCCTGAAACCTGATGAATGCCAGCAGCAAGTCAAAACCCTAGAAGG